CCTCCTCCTCCTCCTTCTGCTGCTTTTGCTACAGTTTTTGCAACTTCTACTGCTATTGCTAACGATACTCTTATTACACGTCACCACAACCGCCACCACCACTACCGAAACCACTGCCGCCGGCATCACCACTACCGCCGCCTCAACCAGCACTAGCACAAACATCACCACCTCCACTGCAAAAAAACTTCGAGACCCCAAGCCCTGAACAGTTTACAGTTTGACAATAATAGTTTCCATTTTCTTTTCCATTATCCCTATCTAACCCTAATATATACCCCATAATCCCTATATAACGCATTATAGTAGCTGCCAACCCTAAACCCCAAACCCTAAACCCTAAATCCTAAACCCTAAACCCTCAACCCCAAACCCTCAACCCTAAACCCTAAACCCACTACCCTAAACCCAATACCCTAAACCCTAAACCCCAAAAACGCCTCAACCTCTGCCCAGGAAGCCCGGAGCTGTCGTTCCAAGGCGTCGCACTCTCGAAGGGCCTGGGTGCAGTCGGCTCGCGGCTAAGATTTGGTTTAGGGTTTAGGGTTTGGGGTTGTATTGGGTTTATATTAGGGTTATATTGGGTTTGTATTGGGGTTTATATTGGGTTTATATGGGGATAATGGAAAAGAAAATGGAAAACTACTGTAGTATAGGGTTTAGGGTTTAGGGTTTAGGGTTGGGGTTAAATTGGGATAATGGAAAAGAAAATGGAACCTACTATAGTATGTTGGGGTTCTATGGGGATAATGAAAAGAAAATAAAAACTACTATTTAAGACAAAAGCCTTCAATCTACTTTCCACAGATTGCATGCAAAGAAAAACTTATGACAACGCGACCCAATATAGCCACTATATATTCCTATTCCGAAGTTCAGACCTGAGGCCCTTGATGGTCTATGATGGACTGGCTAACTGCTGACAAGCAGTAGGTATCCCGAACCCTACATACCCCATCAAGTCAAAGCATCGTCTTCATGATGTGCACTGTGGGGCGTGATGTCGCACCCGCCTAACCAAAGCTACCCGCAATTGCGTCAAGTTTCGGGGAATTATTCAGGACATGGAAATGTTTGGGGTACCCGCTATTATGTCAAGTTTTGGGGGCCAAAAAAGGAGGTTTGAAGACAAATTTGGATTCAGCTTAGACCCTCAAACAATTTTGATTCAGGACGCCCTAAATTGTTTGGGGGGCCAAACTAAACAGGTGCCACATTTCTCTCCACCAGTACGGGTTAAGGCTTCCAAGTTTAGGGCGGCATACCTGGGGCTTTCATGAGCAGGGCTGTCATGCACTTTTTTCTGGCACTTGAGGCCTCCGCGAATCGCAGGAATGTATACCACGCACCTTGCTCCCTAAAATGAGATACTGAGCTTGCCGAATACTGCCTTGCGAGGGGGCGGGGTGAGGTGTGTTGGGAGGATGGGCGGCATCACCTAAAGCAAGGACTGTTTGAGGCTGGTAAATAAGACAGGGCTCCCCATATGACCTGACCTCTTCAAAAATCACGGTGATATTGAGAAGCGCCTCTGCCCAACCAAAAAATGATGTCCGAAACAATCAAATGAGCTATAGTCAAATCTCCTAGTATCCTCCTTAAGAGCCCCCCAAATAGCCCTCTGTATATTCCTCTATCACCCCCTTTTCGGAGTTTAGACCACAGCTCAAACAGGGACATGAAAGGAACCCTATTAGAGCGGATGCAGGTCTTGTTTACATCTGCCCTCCACAAGATGTTGGGATTGACTGTGGATGCACGCGCGTGATCTACTTGCCCACGACGGACATAAAGCAAGAGTGGCGGACCCGCATTCAACAGCAAAGCAGCTTCTTTGATGAAACGCCGCCAAACTTTGGAAATGAGAGTGTCTCATTACAGGAATTGCAGTATAGATCCTGGGGACAAAGTTCAGCGAGACATTGCCAAGCACTCACGTTGTGGATTCAGAACCTGATGTAGTCAAGCAGCCCTATACCCTACACCTACCCTACACACTGGGAATATACGTCTCTCCTCTGGGTGCTGGGATATGTGACAAGATCAAGGGTAGATGTTAGTTGGAGCACTGTTGTCCAGAAACAAGCCCCTGACTAGAAGTTTATGTGCCAAGCCAACACACAGCTAAACCAAACCATCTGGTTCCGGAATGCATGGAAATATTCATCCAGGAATGTTGAGGATAGGATTTCAAGCTGGAGAATGTAGACGACGGATAATGACCATCTCATTTGCTGTTGAACATGCGATCCGCCACCATCGCGCAAGAACTGCCACCACCTGAAGCGCTAATCCCTCAACCCAATTTGGAGTCTACGGTTTTTGGTTTAGAGTTTTGGGTTTTTGGGTCCAGGGTTTAGGGCTAACCTCAACCCCGTATACACAGTCCAAGGACCCGCATCTTTAACCCTTCTCGGCTCATATGAGCTATGATCTGAACGCCTGGCATCCTCCCTCGTAGCCCCTAAAGTAGTCTCCTACATAATCCGGCATATGACTCCCTTTAAGGCGTTAAAAAACTACACCGTAAAACCTAAACCCTATATAATCTCCCGTAGAACCCCCTTTATGGAGTTTAAACCCTAAACCCTGCGTAAACCCTATATAATCCCCCATATAACCCTCATCCCCATATAACCCCCTTTAAGGAGTTTAGACTATGCCTCAGATGTTCAAGTTCTCGAACTTCCCTAAGCGCTTGTAGCGCTCAAACTCCTCCATCTCTTTCTGGACCCACTCGTCCTGGCCAGGGTGTAGGGTGTTGGGTTTAGGGTTTAGGCACCTATTGATCACCGCCCCCTGAAGAATAACCCTCCCCAACCCCTCTCATAATAACCTTCACCAATACACTACAGTCATCGATGTACTAATACCGTCACTATGATTTTGTTCGTTATTGAGGGGCGGGATGATTACTAGTAAGGGGGAGGCGATTGCATCCAGGGCCTATGGTTTAGGGCCTCCCTTATGGCAGAAGCTCCTGGGTGCCTGAAGATGCATGTTTGATATCAAGGGCGCTTGCAACATCATGGGGAAGGGCTTCTGTCGTACTTGCGCAAAACATTGGTGGGCCCCAAGCATGTATTGCACATGAAGATACTTGCAGACTTGAGGTAAGTTGGGAGCTTTGATGGATGATGCGAAGTGCTACGGAGTTGAGGACGCAGGAGGAAAGAAAGCTTCCATCTTATTTCGATTATCCCTATACCGGCTTAACAGTGGTCAAAAAAGCATGTTTGCATCGGAGTATGTTTCGAGGTATGTTTCGGGGTATCGGGGTATATTTCGGGGTATGTTTCGGGGTATGTTTCGGGGTATGTTTCGGAGTATGTTTCGTAGTGCTGGGCTCTTGACGAAAGGGATGCTGTGGGGGTATGTATCGGGGTATGTGTAGTTTTATGTATCGAGGCACGCATCGGGGTATGTATCGGAGGGGTCAAACATGCGCCCTTTCATGAATTCCTGACGCGCCATTTTTGGAAACAGCCATATAGCCCCTATATAACCCTAAATGCCCCTAATTTTGGGAACTGCTCATAACCCCAGGGCAGTCTTCTGACCAAATCTCCGAGCATTAGATCGGGTAGTTTTTCCCTGCAGTGGCACATGGAGAAGGAAAAGGATTTAGGGTTTAGGGCTTGGTGCCTAACAGCAATGCGCCTCCTTGTCAACCCCGAATCGAAGCCCCTTGACTTAGTCCTGAACACGGCTTGCTGCTCTTCTAATTGCACAAGCCAACAGAGACAATTACGAGGACCCTCTCCCTAGGGCTCCAATTTTCTGATAGAAGCTTCATGATCAGGCAAGATTCTTGGGTCTTGGCTGGAGGCAGCCACGAAAACTGAACTTTGTAACATCCTTCTTGCAACACTGCCAACGAAAACGCGCTTTGCGCTATTTCTGTAAGCAACCCTGAACCCTAAACCCTGAACTTTGTATCAGTTCCAAGCCCTCAGCTTAAAGCCTCAGCCTCCTTATCTTGGACCTTGCCGGCGCTCTATGAGCCCCCCGAAAAAAAGGGAAACAACTTCAACTGTAGTCATATTCTCAACTTCATAAGGGTCCTATATACTACGCATACACGAGTAGGGCAGCATCCCATCGTCATCACCCCGGTTAGTCCTGCATCTTCTTCTCGTAGTCCTTCTCAAGAGCTCGAAGTCGCCGGATGCGGCGTTGGGCCTGTGACAGGCTCCACGATATCTCTAAGCCTGGGCTCTGAGACTAAAGATAGTCCCTACGGGGGACCAAAGTTTATATTCGGTACCTACGTTGGGCTGTTTGGAGCTCTCTTTCTACCTGTGACTTCGAAATGCTATGATCTATGGTCATCTAGTATCTGACTTCCAGAGCGTTGTATTGGCTTTGGGGGGCCAACTTGGCAAGAACATCCTGATTGGATTGTTTGTAGGAGCCCCCAATATTCATTTATTCTTATACCCCAACAAGGTAGTATCATGATTATCCCAATATGGTAGTTCCCCAATATAGGGGGACCCCAAGAGAGACCCCAAAATCCCATGGTCCTTATTATGGGGACCCCCAAAAAAGGGATCCCTAATTTGGTCTGTGTCACAGCAGTGTGAAATTTCTGGCAGGGGTGCTGTGGGCTGGGACCCATGGATGGGTCATGACCCCACAATGCTCAGCATATAGCGTTTGGGGTTTAGGCTTTTGACATTGATTAGGGTTTAAGTTTCAGGTTATGCCAAAGCTGGGATCTTTGTGTCTGCTACGACTACCTGACTCTCACAGCTGCGTGGATATGCCTACCCTTCTCTTGGGAAGCCCCCATACAAGGGTTCTACCCTAAATCCTAAACCCGGCTGCCTGCCTCAGAGTGGACGTATGCGGAACGCTCAGCAAAATCCCACTCTTGCCCGCGGGTCTCTCCTGGGACTTGGTTAACGGTTCAGGGCTTGGGGTATATGGGTGGTTGTCAAAATCAGGGTCCCTTTTTGGATCCCTATTATAATACGGCACTAATATTTAGGGTACCCAAAAAAGGATCATAATTTTGACGACCACCCATATAGGGATTATATAGGCTTCAGGGTGTATATATGGCTTTATAGGGACTAGGTAAGGGTTGCACATGGATGTTGTTCTAAATTCAAATAGCAGTGCTCCAGCATTAGATTTCCTTGCGCCCGCCCTTGCGCCAGCTTGCGCGCGTGGGGTTTTGGACACGTTCCGCCTAATGCCGCCCT